TTAAATTACAACGTGTATGCACCAATGGGAAGAAGCAAAAGCAAAGATCAATCTAATATTTCAGAATAATGTAAATAAATATTTTTTTCTTAAAACATTAAGCATGATTGTGATATTTCCTTTAATTTTGCAGAAAAGAATTACACACATTGGGTTTGTATACTGGTTAACACACAAACAATGGTCAGTGGCACAGGCTCTGATTACTCTGTTTTTGTCACGTTTTTGGCACTTGGTTTAGTCTCGGGGGGGTCGGAGTGATGACTGGGTATCTACAAGCTGTCAAAGCTGGACAGCACTGTCAACTAAAAAAATGAAATCAATATAAAACCCAAATGGCAAGAACGACTGTGACTTTAAAAAAAATGTTCCTATCGATTAGTTGATTAATTCTTTTTAAATTAAAAATACTATACTGAACCTTCTCAAATGAATATCTGCAATTTATTCTTAACTGTGGATTTTCTAATGCTGGGCGGTGATGTTACTTGGAATCTGGAGACATATGCCATTGCGTTCTCATACTTACTCATGGATTTATTCTGAAGAAAATAATTGATATGCTGGTTAATAGACATGTTGGTTTCAGCCACAGAGAGCCTTCTAGTCTTCTAATAAATTTTAGAGCAGAAGAAAACTTTAAATATATCTCATTTAAAGAGCTATGCAAACAAATGGCTTGCCCACAACCAAACATCCTTTATAACAGTTTATGACATATGGATGAAACATCACCTTTAAAACACCATGTTAGTAACCATAAAAGAAAGCGCTCTTTTTCTTTCTCCCTTCTAGTCTATAATAAAACATTGCATAACCTGACTTTCAGACTTTGTGTCAGCTACACAAAGATGCCACATAACCAGGCCCTGGTATTTTCTACGCATCTCGCACTACGTCTGCTTGTCATGCTTTTCCCTCTACAAGATATATGACCCCTGCTTCACCCTTGGCACAGGGTGTGAGCTAGATGTCCCAGTCAGACCTGTCCTGTTGAATACCTTATGGCAGGTTGTTTGTGAAACTCTTGTGGTCTGTTTGTTCCCGCTCCCCACCCTGCCCTTGTTGACAGTGTCTCCATTGTGAGGCTGAGGGGCCTCTGCTTAGCTTTGTCCGTGCCTCATTGGAGAAGGTGTTGGTCCAGAGAGAGCTCGCACACCACCTCTGCTTATTCTGCGGAAGCATCATTTGCGTACCTGCCCATTATTTCACTTTACACGCCTGCTAGTCTGCATTTGGTGACTCAAGAATAATGTGTAATATTACATTTATGCTGCTGATGTTAATGTGTGAGAAAAGCTACAGTGAGAGAGAACAACGGGTGACAGTGATAAGCATCAGTCAAGCTCCATCTCTAGGATCAACTCATTATATTTTAAATCTATGTTTTATGTATTTTAAGAGAAAATTTTATCTGCTATACAATTAATTATACAATTAAATATAGGAAAAAAAATATCATTTGAAAATTGTGTAAAACACATATTGTGTAGTATTGATTTGGTATTTCAGTATTTTCTAAATTACAACAAGAACTTATACATAATTAATTGAATAGGGTGCGTACAAAAACGAGACCTCAGTGGACTTCAGTGTTTTAACATGCTCTCTCACAGACACATAAAATCAATGATTTTGGGGGGCGGGGGAATCACGTTAAATAAAAATCCAATACAGTCAAATCCAGCCTCATGTCTACATCTAGTCATCTACCTAATCCCCTCCTCAGCAATCTCCTGCTCCCCTGTTCCTGACATCAGCGGGGAGCGTGGCTAATTTACGAGCATGGGCAATGCCAACATACTCTCTGAGGAGGGCCCATTTTAACACCTCCAAATGCTGTAATGCATCCCAGCTGACCTTAATTATAAAAGCATGTGCCTCCCCTGTGTTTCCCCCACCTCCCCCGTATACAGTCCACAAGGCCGGGGGTGTGAGCCAATGTTCTTACCTGCAGAGAACAACACAGCAGCAGCTACCGTAGCAGCTCAATGTTAATAGTTGCATCCTGAGAGGAAATCAATAAAGCTATAAAGGGTGATATCACAGTGTCTGGGCCCCCACGCACACATTCCTCTCATCTTCCTCCCTCCCTCTCTTCCTTCCTCAGTGGAAGCTGTTTATGAGGGGTTCTTGTGGTTGGTGGGAGCAACTGAAAGGTCAGTAGTATGAGGTTTTGATCCAGGGATGAGACACCCTCCTTGGGAGTGTGGGGTAAATGGTGGAGTGGGATCCCTGACTCATCTGGAGAAAAGTGGATCTTTTAAAGGGCTTATAGCTGCTGTGTGTTGTCAAGGTAGCGAAGCATTAGTGCTTGTAAAGGCCCATCGATGCCGCCTGGTTACGATCAGAGAAGAATCCCAGGAGGTAAAACGAGGCCTTGCTAAACTGCTGATGAACCGAGGGAGATATTAAAAGACCGACTCTCCCTCTTCTTCTGTCTGTACTGCAGATTTTTGCCCATAACATTGATATATGCACAGCACGGGGCTCTAGCATCATTGGACTGATAAACTGCTCATACAATAGATAATCTTTTATGTACCTCCCGTGCACAGCACAAATATTATGACTATTAGTACATTAATTAACTTGCTGGCCTGGGGGTCCTCTGCCCAGCCAAGGTTAAGAGCTTCTTTAATTAAAGATCAATACGGTTTTGCAGTATATTTCTACAGCTCCAAAAGAGACATGAAGCTCTTTAATGTCTACATGTCCGAATGATGTAAAACTTCACAAGATATGTATAGACAGAGAATCAGAGTGCAAAGTGCAACCATTTGTGAGCATAGAACAGTGAACAGCGTGTCAAAACAGCTGAGGTGATAGTGTAAATGATGTATTAACACCTCCTTGTGTTTTGTAACAAAAATGTATACAGTAATTTTTCAGCAGGTCTGGATTCAGTCCCCCAAAAATGAACCCATTAGGATCGACACTAATTAAACTAGCAACAATATCCACGCAATCTTTACAGCCTTTGTTGATATTTGCACGCCTAACAGCACTTATTAATACACCTGTGTACTGAGCAAAGCAACGGAGGGTTGAGATCAAAGTCCACAGCACTCTCTCTGCGTGTACACCTGAGGATTTAGTCCTTGTTTGTAGAAGGAAAGATGGCGAGGCCCGAGGAGCACGCCTTTTTGTGCTAAATGCTCCAACGTCCCCCTTAGAATCCACTTCTAAGGGGGACTGTGTTTGACGGGACACCTCTGTGTGTTCAGAGTGCAGTCCACAAAGGGAGGCAACAGTCAAAACCCTGACCCTAGGCCAAAACCAAGAACCAGCCTGCCTCCATCCGTAAGCTTCTTGAAAACACGGACCTTTTCATTTTTAACTTCTTACCCCTCTGACACCAAACCAGCCCATCCACGTGTACTACAGTCCTATTACATCATATTATCACATGTCGAGTATTATACCCAAGAGCTCTGGGTTCTAAGTGAAAAACTTCTTTCTCATTCATCGTCTCACACATACACTGCTGGACTATACCACCTCCACTGGCAATGTGATGGATAAGTCAGCCTCACTTATCAATGCTTAACCCACCTGGGTCTCTCTGGGCCTGTTGGCCAGTCTCTTTTTTAAACCCTGCTTCCTTGTCCTCCCTCCCACCAACGCCCACACCCCTTTGCCACACAAGACTAAGACAGGTTAAACAGTTAAACACCAGCAAATCCAGCACTGCCCTGTGGGAAATTTGCTTCTAATCCCTAACTTATAGGCACAGAATCAAAGCCAAAAAGCCTGAGCAACAAATCTGATCCTCCCTCTAACAATCTTGGGCCTCTTGGGAGGGTAGGGAGAAGCTCCACAGACTGGGCTGAGATGGATAAATACCTAAATGATGAGACAGTCAGGGGACAGGGGAGTAGTGTCTGGCTATGGCCGTTCACCTCCAATTTGGCATCCGCACAATGAAAGGCAATTGGGCAGCAGCCCCCACACAGTAGCCAGTCCTTATTATTATATGTTGAAGTGTGGCTTGGGCAATGATTAATGACAGTGTCAGGGCGAAAACAAAGCACAGCGCAAGTTATCTCCAATCCACCTGCTCCAGTGGCCCGATTGTAAGAGAATGGAAAAGAGTGTGAGAAGAGGCTTGATAATGGGGAAGAAAGGGGGAGAGAATAGAAAGAGGAGAAGGAAAGAGATGGGATGGTGGACTGGCGAGTATAGTGAAAGAGAATGGAGACTTCCTGACCACAGCAAGGTGAGAATAACTTTAAAAGACATGCCAAAAACGTATACCATACATATGAATAGTTTTTTCATAAGACAAATGACAAAGGCGCTGTACTGCTTATTACACATTCCATGTTACCTTCAAGATCAAAAATAATCTCTAACAATCTGGAAGGATTTATTCTTTGTCACTTGAAACCAACCAAATGCCAACTTGCAGGTAGTTTCCTCGTGAGGTGTGAACATGTAGCTTGTGGCTCGCCGCGGTGATTGATTTGACAGACAGAGTGGACTTTCATGCGTCTGTGTTTGTTACATCCAAGCCCACTGTCCCCCGCTGTATTGGTGTTGACATTTATGAGACATGTCGGAGGGGGCCTGCTAGACCTCACTAATGAGAGAGCTGGGGCTGACAGTTATTAGCGCAGCCTGACACTGCCATCCAGAGGACACACTTGGTAAAGCAGCTATGGGACGGCATGGTCAATTACCATGTTTACAGTTGTTCCACTTCTGTGATTCTTTGACAGTGTACACTACCAAATTGCACTGTCTTTCAGATAATCTGAGGAATTGCATTGAAACTACGAATAGCTGCTGATTTCTTCTTTACAACTGACCAGTGAAATAGTATGAAGAATCTCAGAACTATGTGCTTTTATAAGTGTGAGCTGCCTAAATTGTGACCAGTGAGTTTATGCCCCTGTGAACTTGACTGCCACCCGGGCTATAAAGTTGCCCTGGATAATGTAACTGTCATGAGATTTCTCCAGTAGCCTATTTGAGACTGTTAAGAACCATTTACTTACAGTAACATAAGGCGGTGTCATCATTCAAGTAATTTTCCTTTGCCCGTCCCTCCTCTGCTCCAATCCACTTCCCAAGCACACAGCGAAACAAACACATGCAAACATGGCTGCACAGAGAGCAGACGAGAGGAGAGAGAAACATGTCCAACTCTATGTTATAGTTTGATTTGAAAAAACAGATGCAACCAACTTTACAGTCAATCAGTTAAACCACACAATCATAATGTAAACGATATTAGGATATAGAAATGCCCACCTGAAGAGCTAAACACAGCATTCCTCGACTGCCAGGTTTTCATGAGGTTTAGCCAAACCCTTCCTCGCTCACTTGTGAAAGCAGAGAGAAAAATCACGATTAGTAACCTGATTACATACTGACAGCCCACGCTTAACTAAAGTTAATTATTAAGTGGTAGAGAAAGATTTTTTTTTAAATATGTTAAGCCACATCATATGACAATGCATCAATGGAAAAAACACCAAAATTGATCCAAGAATTTACTATGAAATTTAAAAGTATGTATTTCAAATTGTTTGTAACAGTTCTCCAAAGCCAGAGTTTAGTTCATAACCTTTTTAAGGGGTGTTGAATAGCAATAAATGCATGAATGGATTATAAACAACAACTGAAAGATCTTTAAGCACTACAGCTTTCACTAGACTGTGTTTTGACTAGACATTTACAGTAACAGGAACGAGTACTGTGACACAATAGGTATTTGAATCACTGTTTTCATCTTTAATCATTAGTACCGACCAATAATTGCCAACTTAACTAAGAATTTGCTTTGTAAAAAATAAGCATTTTAGTCCATACTTTCTGGGCCCGGGGCTCCAAAGCTGCATAAAAAACAAAACAAGAAATGAACTCTCATTTTGACCCATGTGTGGACCTAGAGGCTCTCTCCATTAAAACCAGGAAATGAAAGCGCACCCCCCTGGCTCCACTAATGTATGTCTGCACTTTCCAAAGAACCCCTTGCTATATTACACACTCTTGCCATCCTCAGTGTGATATCTTCCCTAGAGTGGTACAAAAAATGTTTAACGTAGCATATGTCAGATAAAATGGCTTTATTTATATGCAGGCTACTTCATCGTAAGTACAATCTCAGATTTGTTACTCAGCAGCATGAAAACTGTGGCATGAAACTCTTTATGCAGTGGGCAGCTTGACCATCTTCTGAGGAAGAATCACACACTCCACAATCTGAATTGCCACTAAAAAATTTGCTGAGCTCGTGATTGTATTATTGTCTGTGCATATGGCTACTAGGACCCAACGCTTGCCTGGATTTAACTTCCTAATCTGTGTTTACTACTTTTTTTGTCCTGAAAGTTCAAAATCTGTGTTTCACATCTCAGCTAGTTTGATGCTTATGTTTCCAGACTATAGGAGCAGCTTTATAACCAGTACTGACTGCTACAGAGCTCTATCACACAGCACCAGACAGAGTTTAAGTTCTTGACTCAGGAGTTAGCAGTAGTAGTTTCTCAATTTAAAACACCCAGAAGAGGAACTCACCTCCTCTCAGCATTAAAGGAGAAACATAATAACTCTGACAACTTTACCCAACGTTAGCAGATTACTCGTTTCTAATGTGTGGTCCTAATTAACCCCACATACTGCAACAATGATACCTAGTGATACCTTTAGCAAGAACGACAACAAAAAATGTATTAAACATCAAACAAAATTTGTTATCAAAGTAGAAATGATAGAAACAACTTTAAAATTACCTCAAATATGGGACAGAAAACTTTAATTGTCTCTGACTTTTGAATCAATAAAGGGATTACGGCTGAAAGAAAAAGCACCGGAGACAGATCCCCTTTCATTAATTCATACTGCTGTGTTAAGAGTTGTTACAGGTGACAATCTCAAGTAAAAGAAAACTGGACCCATTTACCTCTACAGTGCTGGAATCTCACTTTGCTACGCTTAGAGGTAAAGGTCACTGCAAATCACCAAAGTTGGTTCTCCTATCGGTTTTTGTTGATTTGTTTCGTCACCCTTTCCCACGTCACTTTCTGTGACAACATGGACTTTCAGCATCAACATAAGTGAATAATACACAAACAGGGGAGATCTACTTCCCTTTATATCACACCTACAGGTTATGCGCTGACTACTTTAACCACACCTCCCATCTACACAGTGTTTCATTCGGCTTGTGTGAAATTACTTCAGACACTCTGCTCATTTCATTTTAGGGAATTAAGTCCTTTTTCATAATGTTTTGCCTTGATGAATAAATGTAAGCTAACTGAAAACTTGCTCAAGCTTCAGAGTGTTACACGCCCAGCCTTAAACAAGTAGGATGTCTGAACTAAAGAGCAAATGCACAAAAACCACAATTTATAAATATGTTGTTACAAGTAAAAGTACTGAGAGTTCCAGCTTGGTAGGTCTAATCACAAATGGTATATCCTTGTTTTAGAAAATAAAAAGAAGTTGAATAAGCATGTGAAAATTGCTCTCTTTTTCTCTGATCCAGGTTGCTCAGCACTATAATTGACTCACAGCTCAAGACAGCAGCATGTTTTTTGCTGCTAACTCTAAGACTGAATCACATCCCTATTTAGTCATTAACCTACATCACAGAGCTGGGTACTGCTCCCAAAACTCAGTTAGGCCAGACCAGCGCTTCATTTTCATGCCTATTTGGAGCTGATGAATGCAAGTGTGATTTTTGCTAATTCTTTCATATTGTAGGTTCTCAGCAATCTAAAAAGAAATGAATCAAATAAAGCTATATAAATTTACTTCCTGTTTTATTTATTTAACAGCTGTCTCCTGTGTGTTCCCTAGATTCAGTTCACCTGTGTCTCATTCCCCAGCTGTTTCCACTTCCCCTAGCAACCCTTTGTGTCTTTGTGTGTATGTGCATATATCTGTTGTCCTCGCTGTATAAGCTTTTTGATGCCACTGAAATCGGGTTAATTGGGATCTAAAATTTTAAACTTTTGACCAATGTATGGCAAAAAAAAAAGTTTTTCGGTAGTGGAAGAAAAGTTTCAACACTTTTCTTGTGTTTTTATGACCCATTGCTGAGTTATTTGGATTCTATCACTTTGGATTTTTCCATTGACATAGAGATTCAGTGAAGCTGGTCTTGGTCATATAATGGGCCAAAATCTTATTATATAGACATTATGTCTTTATTTTGTGTCGTTTAACTTGTGTCTACAATGAGGCTGCACTGGTTCTGATTAATTCTAATAGTGCTTGTTTCAGTGCATTGTACTAATTTCTATTATTAATAAGTCTCCATTTTACTTAATCTAAGTCAAGTAGGAAGGTTTGGGCAGTGCTGTTACTTAATTTCTAATTAATAAGCATTCTGTCCTACAAAAAGCAGATCAATCCAGAAATTAAGAATTTCCACAATATCAAATTGGGAGATTGCTCATGCCTAGGACCTAAAACAAGAAAAACTATGCTGAGACAGAACTATCTAATTTTAAAAGCCTCGCATTCACTACAATATTACCTCTAATAAGTACTATTTTAAATAAAACTGTGGTAACAAAAATTTACCACAAAATGTTGTAAAATTAAACTCATTCAATTCATGTTTTCTTTTTTTCTTTTCTTTTTTGTTATCATACAATCTTGCGATGCTAGTTCTGAACATGTGTGTAACTACTGCATACATCACTTTTCTGACCTTTTAAGCAACAGGATTTGTTCAGAGGCCTTGACCAGTTGTAAAGCACAACAACAACAACAACAAGGCTGAAGTAGGCAGCCCTCATACAAAAGCTAGACATTTCTAAACATCAAGAAAACTCACATTTCTTTGTAAACAACCTGTCAATCATTTCCATTAAAAATGTTTTGTCATTTTTTTTGAACACTTGTTTTGAGACTCCACCAACTGTATGCTTTATTTGACAGTTCCAATCATGTAACATTGCATCTTTCAGCTGTAGATGTGGCAAGGGTGTCTTCCCTGTGTAGTTTTCCCATAGCAATGTAATCTGCGGAGGAAACAGTAGTGCTTTTAATGAGAAGCCACTGCTCTTCTCCGTAACAGCGCTTGTCTGTCTGTAGCACCGTGCAGCAAAGCACAGCACAGCATGCTCCATTGAAATGTGGTCTGTCTATGTGGGATTGCAAGGGCCCCTTTGAAGTACTGAGTTGCGGCTGTTTCCTTTGTGTGTAACAACACTAAAAATCAAACCTAAAACCAAAACACCCATAAGAATACCTAAAAGGGGTACAATATAAAGAGCCGTATGTATATGATGCTTTACACATCTCTCCTTTGTTTCATCCCCTCCCTTCTGCCATGATTATGCATGTCTTCTGTGAAGAGCTGCAGTGCGTCTGGAGAGCCCCCTGAATGGAAACTGTGAGGTACAGAGAGGCACATTAAAATCCTCTAACGTTCTCAAACGAACAACCTAGGGACAAAACATGAATTCCATGTGGTTTCTCTCCTTGTAGTGCTGTAGCTCAGACAACCTCACATTTAGTACTGGCTGCCATCTCAGACAGTGAGTCCAGTGGGATGTGTAGCTATGTGTTTATCAGAGAATGAACTTCCACTTTTAATGTGGCATAACCGCCGCCCCCATTATCTCCTCCCCCATTTTCCTTATTCCTTCCTCCCCCTCCTCCCTCCCACTCCGGTTAGACTGTAGTTGAAGGTGAAGCACCAGAGTTCAGAGAGCAAGAGGAGCAACTGCCGCCTGAATCACACAAAGCTCTGCTCTTTGGGGGCTCAGGGGTTTTGCCCTAGTGTAGACGCTGTGGCACACTTACAGGAGTGACAATGTAGGATGCTTGGAATATAGTTTATATTACTGTGGCCTATATAACATATGTGCTTGACAACTAAAACAGAATAAAAATAAACCTTTTATAATGGGATATGAATATGTGGACATGAATAGAGACCATGGATGCTCTTTTACATGTAATTCAAATATAAACACACAATTATGACCTTATGAAGGGAAGAAATAGTTGAGAATAAAGGGCACAAAAAGAGCAGCTAGCATATGCATAAAAGGCATGCTTGTGACTTTGTGCTGTCACCAATTTGTGTTGCACACACGTGTCCACATACTCAGATTAAATTAATACACTTTGTCAGTTAGTGACTCGTATCTTATTTATATAATATGTTTATCATAGTGAAACTAATTCAAAGGTTGCCAAAGAGACAAATAGTAAAAGCAAAAGGATATAAAAGATTTTACAACCATAATTCTAATAAAATATATTAACAAAAAAAATTATTGTGGAAAAATAGCACAATTAAAACAAGTAATCTTCCCGTACACATGCATGTATTTTTGAAGGATTTCCCACCTTCCAC